GCGGCATGTGACGACTATTTGTCTGTATGAACGATATCACACAAGTCATAAAAAAGTAATGCTAATATGAATACTCTCATACAAATAACGCAATTCCTGCTTTCACAATTAATATAGTTTAATAATTTAATTAATTTTTTGTTTTTTTGTACCTTTTGTTACGATCCATTAAAAAATTAACTGTAACTTTGGAATAATTTATCATTAATAAAAGAAACATTTCTCTTTTTTATTAATTTCTAACTTATTTCATTGACTCTGACTCTAATCATATCTTATAGATATCATCTATGTATAAATAAAAGATTCAGTTCTTTTATCTGCTTTGACTTTATTTCGTAATGATAACGAATTGCAGCAATTGTGTTTGATATTCGTTTCTAAAAGTTAACCGATTGCATAGTAATTACATAGTACTATAATTAATAGCTATATATATATATAATATTAAATATAATATTATATTTTTCAGATTCTTTTCACGGATACGACCTTGACGTGGTGGGAGAGTTCAGTACCCAGAGGATATTTACATGAAAAGAACGGTTTTTCTCAAGTATCTAAAAAATTTTCTATCTGAATGATATATCTAGATATTGAGTAAAATCGTTCTCTTCGTGTAAAAATTCAACGGGGATTACCCTCGTCGCCGATTTATTTGAAAATGAACGAACCGCAGCCGGTTCGTCACGTCGCGCGTTTGCTTCGGGAGTGCCGTTCAAGTTATCGGACTCAAATTACAGTCCGCGCGCGATTATAGTGTATTATTCGCGGGTGTTTTACGCGAGTGTCTTGTGCTATATGATATCAATCATATTCTGAAAGGAACAGAAGGAGATCTAGGAGAGACATCGGGCACCGGTGGAGCAACCTTGCAGTAAATATTATTTTTTACTTATGTAAAATTAACTTTTTTTGCTTTTTAATTAAAAATTTTGCTTTTATTTAAAAATGATTATTTTTAAATCATTGTTAAATAAAATAATTTAAATAATATTATTATTAATAATTATAAATTATTGTCAATAACTATAAATTATTGTCAATAACTATAAATTATTGTCAATAACTATAAATTATTGTCAATAATTATAAATTATTATCAATAATCATAAAAATAAACTATTTTCTTTTAATTTTCTTATATGCTATATGATACGAACGCCTGTTGAGTTGCCTCCGTGGCGCAATCGGCTAGCGCGTTCGGCTGTTAACCGAAAGGTTGGTGGTTCGAGCCCACCCGGGGGCGTTATTTTTTTTATCGTAAACATCAGTAATATTGCTCTTGTGATATTTTGGTCGATAATTTTATTTGTAAAACAGAGATAATAATGAACTCTTATCAAGTAATGTGTAATTAAAATTGGCAATAAAAAAATTTTAATTAGAATTTTACAAGGTTCCAACAATTGAGTTATGTATATAATTTAAACAGGTAGTAATCACAATAATTGCAAAACAATATAACGTGTTTGTTTGTAATATATAATGACATTGTGTTTATGTTTATAAATTATTTTCACATTTGCAAATGTATTCATGCAATTAATATTTAAAATTGCCGCGCGAAGTTATGATTGCCAACATCAAAGATCGTGGCGCTTGTGTAGCTTTCAAGTTTCCAGACTCAATTATCAAGAACTCCATTACTCCATTTTCCTCTTATCGATTCCACGCGAGAAGAAAACTGAATATTTCAACCGGAGTTACGATTTCTTACGTAAGTATCAATTGTTTTTATTATAAGCAATAGCGATTATTATCAATTTTAATTTAATTATATATTCGTACGACATAAGAGGAGAGATACTGAGATTAGATTGGCGAACAAAAGAGTTTAGTTTCACCGGTTGTGATACTTATCTCTGCTTCATTTAGGAAATAATAGATGATTACACAATGTCATAATTGAAAAATCTTTAATACATTTATTATTGTCATTTCCTTTTCTTTCCTTTTATTTCTTTGTTAAAGATACGTATTTCAAATATATTTTTCTCTATATTTTAGGTTAGAATAGTATCAGTTATAAGGAATTTATATTATGATAATATATTACAGATTTCATCATCTCATATTATATAATCATATTTTATGTTTTGTAGTATATATTCGATCATGGCAGCACAATTTTTTAATCGATTGAGTCAACTCGGTTTAGGCATAGCACTGACCGGCGGTGTTGTTAATTCTGCATTATACAACGGTATGATATCTCCTATTTCTATATGATAATTATCTTCTTAAATTAATATATAATTTTCTTAATTATTAGTTTGTAATCCTTTAATTAATATACTAATATATTTTTTAGTTGACGGTGGCCATAGAGCAGTTATATTTGATAGATTTGCTGGTATAAAAAATGTCGTGATAGGAGAAGGGACACACTTTTTTATTCCTTGGGTGCAAAAACCAATTATTTTTGATATTCGTTCACGTCCGAGGAATGTTGCTGTTATTACTGGGAGCAAGGATTTGCAGAATGTAAATATCACTCTTCGCATCCTCTTCAGGCCTGTGTCAGATTCGTTGCCTAAGATATACACAATACTTGGTATTGACTATGAAGAAAGAGTATTACCTTCTATTACCACCGAAGTGTTGAAAGCTGTTGTCGCACAATTTGATGCTGGAGAACTAATTACACAAAGAGAAATTGTATCTCAAAAAGTCAGCGAAGATTTAACAGAAAGAGCTGCACAGTTTGGACTTATTTTGGATGATATTTCTCTTGTAAGTACAATTATATTTATTGTCAGATAACAAAAAGATTTTATTATTTTTGCAGAATTACAAAATTTAATATATGTGACACGAAAGATTTGACAAATTACATTACAATATCAGTAATACTAAAATTAGGATTATATAGGGAATCTATTTATCTATTTACATATTGAAAATTGGAAAGAAGATATCATAATATTATGAAAATTGAAATAAGCATTTCTCGGTTAATCATTCTTCTATGCTGAATTTAAACTTAAAACAAAAAGGTTGTGCAAATGGCCTAAAGGTATGCTATAGGCTTATAGAAAAGGCATAGCCTTTTAAGTTTAAACTTATATAGCATACAAGAATGAATAACTAAGTTTGGAGTCATTATGTCTATAATGTTCTCACTGTTAACATCGTCTATTATTAGATATTAACGTTTTTTCATTAAAATTTCCTGACAATTTGATGATTATGTATACACAGCTATTGTTATCGACTTCGTCGTTCATTTTATTGAAATTTAATGAACAAGATGTGAACGAGAGAATTAATCAACATTTGACCATATTAACTTTCTTATATCAGTACTCTTGACGATTGTTATACTCCGATATTCGTGATAATGTTGTGATTATTTTATGTGAATATTAAGTTTATATTAAAAAGAATCTAATTAGGATCGAAACGTATTTATCTTTTATAATAAAATATATTTTAATATAATATAATTACACACACTGTTGGCTCTCAAAGATTTCTCTTTAACGTTTTTATTTACTCATTAGAATCTTTATTTGTTTAAGTTTGGGTTACTTCATTTTTAGATTAATTTTCACAATGTTATGGCACTTTCTTTCCAATTTTATATATAGAAATAAATTCTGCAGTGTCTTGTTTTTAATGCGACTGATATTTGTAAAGTAATCTATCAATCCTTTGTTATCACATATATTAAACTTTGTAATTTTGGAAAAACAAAATTTTTTTGGTCACTTGATATATACATTTATGATAAAGAAAAAATATGAATGATATGTGCAATCAACACATAAATTATCATTATTTTTAAAAAATTCTTTTAGACGCATTTAACATTTGGTAAAGAATTTACCCAAGCAGTAGAATTAAAACAAGTGGCGCAACAAGACGCGGAGAAAGCCCGTTTCTTAGTAGAAAAAGCTGAACAGCAGAAGAAAGCGGCTATTATTAGTGCTGAGGGTGATGCTCAGGCCGCGAGTTTATTAGCAAAGTCTCTAGCTGAGGCAGGAGAAGGTTTGGTTGAACTCAGAAAAATCGAAGCTGCGGAAGATATCGCGCATAATTTATCCAAGTCTCGTCAAGTGGCATATTTACCTTCGGGTTTAAATGTGTTGCTTAATTTACCGCAGTAAAATAAAACGAATTGTTACATGTTTCTACATGAATTGTGCATTTATATCATGAGAAGTTTATCACTGTAACAGAGTGAAAGAGAGTGTAAAAAAGAATATAGTCTATATGATAAAAACTTCCCTAAAGGCTTCATAGCAGGAATATATAGTATTTTGTAACATTTAAATGGTTTAATTGGTGAATTTGCGCCATTTTATAAATATATTACGTCCTACCATATCGTTTAGTTGCTAAAAATTCTAAGTATTACGTAATCATTATTTATTAACATTAATGTCTTATATCCTTTAATTTCTGCAACTAGTATTAAAAGAAATATCCATATATTGATGGATAGAATTCTTCCATATCATACTTAAGAGAAATAGCTTTTCAGAAAATTATTAATTTTTTCTCATAATATCTTTAATTTTTCGTATAATAAGTATATATTTCGTATAGTAAGTAATATAATTGAAAGGAAAACGAAAAATTTATTTATTGCATACTCTTTAGGCTCATATTGAAATTGAAATTATAATTGTTTAATGAGTCAACCAAATTAAATTTATTCCATAATTTAAGCTTATTCTTAATCATCATATGAATAATCGTTTTGCTATTCTTTTCGATAATTTTTTTTTAATATCTGATAAAACAAAAAATCAGTTAATGAATCTAATTTCGCACTCAGAAGTGTCGACATGTACTTTTTAAATCCGCGATAACGAAAGGTCTCGGATCGGTAGGTGATCCGACCTGTTCGTTCCGGACGATCCCTTTGAGCGAACCATCCGATGGATCGCCATGATCAATCAGGAAGTCGAAATTGGTGGAAGATTATCTCAGTCGGGGTGCTCGCGTCTCGCCTCTGTCGGCACAAGCTGTTAATAAAGAAAACAATCCATCATAATTTGATGATCGTTGCGGGGTGCCTTTAGCATGGTGGTCCACTGTAAAAATGTAAAATATACACGATGATACCAGTTGCACTTACACGTGTAAGTCCGGTTACTAGTTATTAATGTCCGGATAGATTTATTGCGTGTCTTACAAACGAATAATTAACAGATCGATTCATTTTTTTAAATATCGGATATTATAAGATATTTCAACATTTATTTAAAATTCTTTTTTGAAAAAAATTATACTAATATTATTAATTTGCTCCAATATATAATTTGAAAATTTTTGTTTGCTTTGATGTTAAAGTTTCAGGGAAATCTAATAATTCTAGCTTAGCGCAATATTGAAAAAATGAATCCCATCTTCCTGATTCTCAAAGATGCTGAACACTGTATCATCACACAGTATGCATCGTTTGCTTCACGGTTTTGCCGCACGATAATAATATAGTATAATTTCCGCGAATAAAGAGAGGTATAAGTGAGAGAGAGAGAGAGAGAGAGAGAGAGAGAGAGAGAGAGAGAGAG